GTTAAGCTACAGCGACACTACGTCGGAAGCTAAGAGCGCAAAGTGTTGTTGTGGAGTCATTTAAATGGCAAAAATTTCATCCTTCAAGGAAGCAAGAGAATTAATCCGTCATTGTTATGAGATGAATTACATTTGTGATGACGAATTTTTGTTGCTTTACACTAGCTACGAATCACAAAACTTAGAACTTCCGTATCACTCGTTCTCTGAGTTTGACTTCGAAAATTTTAGTGACGACAGATGTTTGGCACTGTGTAGATTAAAAAAAAACCCACATAGCGGTACTTGCGAAATAATTTATTCATTTAAGATATATCTGAATGGTGTAACCACTCAACAAATTTCTAACAAAATACTAGCTGGAAGTCATATTTGCAGAGCTCAACAAAACTCACTCCTACTTGAAAAATAGAAAATTCAAAATGACACTAAACAAACAAAATCAGTAACATGAAGCTGCAATAACTTTACAAGAGTAAATCAATCCATTGTCAATCTCTGTTAGGGAACTAAGTTACTGTTTTTTCGCAAGTCTTTCTAACAACACCATCATGGCCTGTGCCTGTAGGGGTATGTTACCTTTACGGATTGCCTTGAAATTTGGTCCGAAGACTCCCAAAATACCAATTCCGGAATGGCTTCCGACGTAATGCGCATCGTTAAAACTTTGAAATTTCAGATATAAATTGGAAAGCAACGCGTCAGAATATCAAAAAATTAGGATTGAAATTGTGTTAGGTATTATTTGTGCGATCAGATTTGATATCATTTATGTATATTTAGTATAAAATCAGAGCTGAGCAAAGACTTTCCAGCAATCTGATTGGTCGAGCGGTTCCTTATATGACGCTACATAAACCGCTCCACGCGGTTTATATAAAATGTTAAAGTAAAATTTTAATAAATGTTACTAAAATGTTATGATTTCTCAGTTGTTCAGCTCTGAAATTATACTAAAACAATTATTCGCCTGAAGTTCAGTGAGTATTGTCGAATAATCCCCTCGACTTTTTCTCGGGGATTATTCGACGATATTCACCTCGCCTTCGGCGAATAATTGTTAAATAGTTTACGGCGGTTATGCTTCAAAAAAGGGCGTTACAATTTTTTTTAGGGAAAGGACACCAGCGACAGCGGATGACTTATAATGCAGTTCCAGGTCTTGGTATATATCTAGGAATTTGCTCTTCAGATAGAAGTAAGCTTGGCACAGTTTAGATTAAAAAAGACCCACATAGCGGTACTTGCGAAATAATTTATTCATTTAAGATATATCTTGAATGGTGTAAACCACTAAACAAATTTCTAATAAAATACTAGGTGGAAGTCATTTGCAGAGCCCAACAAAATTCACTCCTACTTGAAAATAGAGAATTCAAAATGACACTAAACAAACAAAATCAGGAACTTGAAGCTGCAATAACTTTACAAGAGTAAATCAATCCATTGTCAATCTCTGCTAGGGAACTAAGTTACTATTTTTTCGTAAGTCTTTCTAACAACACCATCTTGGCCTGTGTCTGATTTTACTGTTGCTGCAAAAACGCCATTTAAAGTGTTTGCATCTGATCTTGTTGTTTTGCCATGTTTGTAATCATGGCCTCCTGGGTTTTAAACATCTATGCTTGCTTCTCTTTTTCGTTTTCAACATCTATTGTTTTTAAAGCGAACTGCCTCTTCGCGGATCTTAAGCTCCTTTTCTGATTTTTCCCGTAGAAATTCGGCATTATCAGCTCCGCTTCTTCGTTGCCTTTTCGCTTTTCTTTCGCAGTCCTCATTAGCCCTTCTTTTTGTTTCACCAACTCTTTCCAAGGCTTGGAAACACGTCTCCTCGGCTTTTTTGCGATCTATTTCGACACTCCTTCTGCTACAGGATTCTCTCGTTGATTCTGCTAATTTCTCTCTTTCAGAAATGTCTGCCAACAGTGCGTCGAGCTCTGTTGGTTCAGGAGATATACCACTTGCATTTTCTTCTTCTCCACTTTGCTGTCAGTCGAATTCTTCCGAGTAGCAAGTCAATCGCTCTCTTACCGCTCTTTGATTCACTTTGAATTTTATTGCAGTTACACTGTTGAGGTTCTCCGAAATTTGCATCCAAATTCTTCCTCTGTCTTTACTCCCTTTCTTGAACTTATAAAACCCCTCTACCAAAATTTCTTTGCACAGCAACACGTCGTGCGCTGTTATCCACTCCATTGGCCTTTTGTAAAAATCAAATTAACAGAAATAAATAAACATTCTAGTAACTTGTTACACGTAACAGTATCCACCAGCTTAGTGCCGGATCATAAAGCAAACCGAAGAACTTGACTGAGTCAAAAAGAATAAAACAAACGAAAACGATATGGAAATACTTACGATTGCCGCTTGGCAGTGTTGGCGGCGGAACCTGAAGCTGTCCCTGGTTTTGACATCTTTTTTTTACAAGTAAACTTTGACCAAATTGCGTTTATTCATGATTCATCAACTCGTAAAGAAACGCAATTAATTTAATCACAAGGAAAAAAATTCAAATAATCAAAACTTCAAACGAAATATTACGGCAAATTCTGACGTACTCACCATGGGAACGAAGTGATTATGCCGTGGCAGATGGCAAGAGTACGGCGTGAATTCCCGCCTTAGACATGCGCAGTCGGACAAGTTGTAAGTGTAGACTTCCGGTCGCCGTAGTAGAGCCTGCATCTTAAAGTCCCTAATAATAGCAGATACAAGTACGGTCCTGCGGCTGAGTGGAGAAGATTTGTGAAAATTTGAACCTTCTATGTATCTTTTTAAAGGGATAGCAGGCGTATGCAGTATTAAGCCAGATTTAGGACTATTTAACGGGTACAGTCCGAGCTCGATGAAACCGCTAAACGTGTCTGCTAGGTCAAGTTCGAACCGAATAAAGTCGAAATTATACGATGAGGGAAAAACGCAAAATTTTGTATGAATTGTAACTAGAATGAGATACTGGTTGAGCTTACGTTCAAGCAGGTCGGAGAGCATGTCTTAAAACAAAGATCAGCTCCTTCAGGAACTCATAGCTTAGCCATGATTTGCAGAGTTTTCCTTTTCACTACATGGTAATGATTTGTGAGAGAGGAATAAAGCACTGGGGAAGTGAGAAATAGAGTTTACAACCCATTTATAGACGAGGTATTTTTGAGTTCCTGGAATTCAGAGGAAAACGTTTGTAAATATCAGGTAACCACTATGGCCTCGTCTATCTGATTGGACCTCCTCAATATTCACCATAATTTCGTAAAATAGTTTAGCATCAAAACCGCAATTATTCATTCGTCAGTGTTTCGGCACAACAGAGAAAAAAATATCTTCACTGTGTTCATTTCCGGCTATGGCATAGTTCGATATTAAACACAAGTACAGTCTTGCAGCTGAGTGGAGAAGTGTTGTAAAACCTTGAAGCTGCTACATCATAGTAATGCTTAAAAGGTACGGCAGCATGCTTGTGCAGTATTAAGCAAGATTTGGAACCAACAAATAAGTATAGTCTGGGCTCGAGAAAACCGCTAAACGCGGTCTTCAAGGTCAAGTTTGAATCGAATGAAATCGAGATCATGATGAGGGAGAAACACAGAATTGTGTGTGAATTGCAACCAGAATGAGTTTCTGAGTGACCGTAAACTAATGAACAGTTCACAACTTAATTTTTGGGGCACTTATATACATTCTTATAATTTTGAAGCAAAAAATGGTACACTAAGGGAATCATGTCTTTCTTTGCTTCTATCTCTTTAGGTTCAAGACATCTTAAAGTAATTACACGAAATCTACAAGTAGGGTCAGGGCGTAACGGTGAGTTGTATTTAAAGGTTGCTTCTCGAAGTCATAACCTAAACCTGCAGTAAGTATGGGGAGTGTCTAACGTAGTATAGAGAAAAAAACGTAGTGCGTTTATAGGGTCAAGTTTGAATCGACTTGGATCAAGATTACACAATAAGAGAATAGTATAATTTGGTCTAAATTATAACTTGAAGGAGGTCTAAAGTGACCATAAATTTTTAGGCGTTAGCATCCTCATAATTTTTAAACAATGGAATTGTAACCAGACGGAACCCACACAGCAAAATAAAACTTCGCATATGGAATGAGGTGCAGACTCTAAAGAAGTCAGTGATGGGGAGGAGAATTGCACATGGATAAAAGGAAAGTCGGTTTAGAAAAAAGGGGTCGTACAAGAAAAAGAGAAGTCGCGGAAGAAAGAAAAAAGAATATTTTTGAACCTGTGCAACTTGCCTGGAAGATGGAGATATTTATAATCTAACTGAGAGAGGAATAAAGCTCCGGGAAAGTGAGAAATAGAGTTTACAAGCCATCAACAGATTAATTATTTTTCGAGTTCTGGAATTCAGAGGGAAACGTTTGTAAATACTAGTTAACCATTATGGGCTCGTCTATCTGATTGGACCCCTTCGATGTCCACTATAATTCCGAAGTATATATTGTCAATGGAACCGCAATTATTCATTCTTCAGTGTTGCAACAGAACAAGGAGAAAAAAATCATCACTGTGTTTATTTCCAGCTATGGCTTAGTTTGATAGCAAATATAAGTATGGTCTTGCAGCTGAGTGGAGAAATGCTATAAAACCTTGAACCCGCTACAATCTGTTTCTTAAAGAGGAATAGAAGGCCGATGCGGTACTAAGCAAGATCAAGAGGTTATAACTTGGCAAGATTTAGGAATATATAATTAATGGTACAGTCCGGGCACGAGAAAACCGCTAAACGTAGTCTGCAAGGTCAACTTTGAATCAGGCGAAGTCGGACGTGGGTGTCTTTAGATAACGGGCTCACTGCATGATATGCAGAGTTTTCCCCGTTTCGCCACATGAAAATGATGTAGTGAAAGGGAAAACCGCTAAACGCAGTTAGAATCGTCGACTCAGAAGCCGCGCGATCCGTATAGAGTGTAAGTAATCATATATGGTTCTAAAGGAATAAGCAGGCGTAGGCGGTATTATACAAGATTTAGGACCATCTAACGGGTACAGTCCGGGCTAGATAAAACCGCTAAACGTAGTCTGTAAGGTCAAGTCTGAATCAAATGAAGTCGAGATCATACGATGAGGGAGAAACGCAGAATTTTGTTTGAATTGTAATTAGGATGAAATCCAGGGTGAGCTTAAAAAAATTAACTTAAGTAATGAGGCACTGATTTATATTCTTATAGTTGTGGAACAAAAACATGGTAAACTGAGAGAATTAAGTCTTTCTTCACAAGGCCGGACGCCTCCAGGCGCTATCTTTCCAGGGAAGGGTAAGTTGTATTCAAAGACCGCTTCTTGTAGTCATAACCGAAACTTGCAGTAAATATGGGGAGTGTGCAGCTCAATAAAGATAACTGAAACGTATTGCTTTGACAAGGTCAAGTTTGAATCAAGTCAGATCAAGATTATAGAATGAGAGAAAAGTATAAGTATGTGGGTGTCTTTAGATTGCGGGCTCACCCAACAAAGCGATCAGTAATGGCAGTGGTTTGGATGACGGGATGATAGGAAGATAGTGCGAACTGGCGTTAAACGGTTGCAAAGGAACAGGGTACGCGCTCAGGCAGGTCGGAGAGCATGCCTTGAACAAAGATCAGCTCCATCAGGAACTTATAGCTTAACCATGATTTGCAGCGTTTCCCCTTTCAGTACATGGCAATGATCTGTGAGTCTTTCGTGGATTTGTTGATAGAGAGTTCGCACTTCGGAAATTTCTTTTCTAATAGCATGGACAGCCTCCAGCAAAGGAGCTTTTACTGAGTCCTTTAGACTTAAGCACTCTTTATTTGTCGTAAGGTGCAAGTTCGATGTGGGAAAGATCGTGATTAAAAGGTCGCAATCGCTTCGTCCTTTTTGAAAGATGCCTATCTTACTAATGGAAGATAGTCTAGTAAAAAACACAATGACAGTCCAATGGAAGGAAGATAAAGACCAAGATGGCAGTGAAAACGTATAGCCACTGTGAGGTCTTTTTTCAATGGCCACCTAGCGGTGCACTATAAAATACAATAAAAACTTACAGATCGAGAGTAACAGGCGGATTCTAAAGAGGTCGCCAATGGAGAGAAGAATTGCAGTGGTTAAAAAAGGCTGTAGAAAAAAGAGGTCACGTGCATGGAAAGAGAGAAATCCTAGAAGAAAAAGAAAGGTTTTTTCCCGCCGACTTCTTTCAACTTTCGCAACTAGGCCGGGAAAGGGGGGTATTTCTAATGTAAATGAGAGAGAATTTACAACTGATCAGTAGATTTTTTTCTTTGAGTTCCTGGAATTCAGAGGAAAACGTCTGTAAATACCAGTTAACTACTATGGGCTCGTCTATCTGATTGGACCTCGTCGATTTCCATTGTAATTCGGAAAAAAATATATTACTAAAATTAAAAAAATATATTACCGCAATTCTTCATTCTTCAGTGTTGCGACAAAATAAAGAAAAAAAAAATTTTTACTCTGTTCAAGTTATTTTTGGATATTAACAGAGGCAAAGGACCATGGCCCACTCAGGCAGGTCGGAGAGCATGTCTTAAGCATAGATCCACTCCTTTAAGGATTTAAAGGTTAAGCATGATACACAGTTTCCCCTTTCACTGCATGGCGATGATCTGTGACTCTTTTCAGCATTTGTCGATAGCCAACAGAGTGGGCAACTCGGGGAATTTATTTTCTGATAGCATTGACAACCTCCTACGAAGGAGCAAGTTTCTTTCTTCGGCAGAGCCCTTTAGACTTGAGCACTTTTTTAAATTGTGGTAAGTTGCAAGTTCTATGAAAAAAAAAGATCGATTGATAGGCACTATCGCTTCACCTTCTTGGAAAGATGTCTCTCTCACTTCTGGAAGATAGTCTGGTAAAACACAATGACAGTGTTAGGGACAGTTTGCCCCTCCGGTCCCCCTTGTGCAGATCACATGACCTTAGCGACCATGTACTTAAATCGTTGTGCGTTGTTTGTGCGTAGTAAGGTTTGCTTTTTTTTGTCTTTTGATGTTGATGTTTGGTTTAGCTTGGAGATGGCCAAAAATATGTAAGTTGTCGCTTTGTGTGTTATTCTTTTTCTTGTAATTCAATATTTGTTTCAGTTTCGAGTCTAGCTTTCTGTTTTATGTAATTTGTAGCTGTACCGAATGAGAAGATCGCGTTCAGATTAAACATCTCCAGTTTACAACATTTAGTCTGAGATTATCTTCAACAGACAGTCCAATACATGGATATTAAAGATCAACATGGCAGCGAAAAAAGATAGCCACTGGGTAGTCTTTCATCAATTGCCACCTAGGAGTGCAAAACAGAATGCAATAATCAGGCGCGTATTCTAAAGAAGTCGCTGATGGAGAGAAGAATTGCGCGTGGATAAAAAAAAAAATAATGTACAAAAAGAGGTCGCGAAAGAAAAAAAGGATTCTTGAAAGAAAAAAGAAGCTATTTCCTTCCAATTTCTTTTAACTCGCGCAACTTGGCTGCGAAAGGAAGGGGGCTATTTGTAATCTAACTGAGAGGGGAATGAAGCTCCGGAGAAGAGAGAAAGAGAGTTTATAACCATCAATAGTTTGATTATTTTTGAGTTTCTGGAATTCCAAGCGAAACGTTTATAAATCCAAGTTAACGACAATGGGCTCTTCTGTTGGGATTAGACCTCCTCGATGTTCACTATAATCCCGAGAAATATATAGCCAACCTAACCGGTAATAACTTCTGGACTGTCTAAATGCTTCCTTTTTTTTAGCTGGTTTCAAAGAGGAGGAACATAGCAAGGCCAATCGTGTCAACGTCGTCGAATCTGATCCAGAATGGAGATCAGGTGGAACAACATTACAGGGCCACAGCACACAACGGTTCATCACGGCTGAACCAATCAAAGTGGATCCGTCAAGGAAGGTTGAGTTGGTTCTCAGGCTTGTAGCCAGGTAATACTAAAGTATGCGCTTTGAGGGCAAGTTAACTGTTCCCAAGAGTTTGATGCGTTAGAAGTTTTGACCTGTCACGGTCCGGAAGATAGTACTTTAAGCTTTAACGAGACTGATTACCAGTCTGGGTTAACTCTTCGCGGACACTTTGCATATGGTTAAGGATCGCATGGATAAAAAACACCACGCTATTTATTGAACCAGCTTGACTAGTACAGTATTTTTATGTGAACGCTTTAAACAGACCAGGCAGGGTAGGATATTAATTCGCTCTGACGAAGGGCTGACGCTCGAAAAACTGGCTTTTCAAACTCTTCGCGGTGGCCAGTTTATGTTATCAATTCAGTTGATAAAACCAAATTATCTCGTTATACCCCCTCGCCGACGCAACGTCACTGTTTCTTTAGAAACTTCCGGCCCCTTATAAGGTATTAATCGCTGGATATCGTAAAGGAGGCCCCTTAGACACAGGATGAGCTTCCGATGTCGTTTTGTTGTATTATCCAAAATATATTTTTTCTCCTATTTTTGGTTCATTTTTGTTTTCAGAGAGGGAGAAAAAGGACTCAAATTCCCCGAGGGAAAGTGTACCCCACTGTCAACTCTGATCCCACCAGCTGTCCAAGAGTAGAGCAGAGACTGGGTCGATGTCAATGCTAGTCAATACCAAGGACTACTAGCCAGAGTAATCTACAGTGCGACTACTGTTGTCAGATTCACTTTTATGAAATTATATCTAAACTGAAATATCACGAAAGTAGGCCGCATCACCGGCTGAGTTTGCGCGACCTCTTGGGTAAAGACCGTTGAAAATAGGGTGCACGACCTGATGTGATTGTGGTCAAAGACAAAAAACAAAACAAAACAACAAAAAATGAAAAAGTACGTAATCGTGTATTCACTTCTTTTTTTTCTTTCTGACCCACTGGTGTGGTTATTTTATTTTGGTGTCGGGAAATAGTTTGATTAGAGGAACGTAGAAGGATTCTTGAATGAGCGTCTCGCTCTCAATGAATGTTCATTTAAAATTTTTCTTGGAAATGTGATCGAGGAAAAGAAAAATGTAAATATTGATGTTTTAAGTATACTTTGGCGAAATCGTCGAAATATTAACCAAGCCAGGCAGAAAATTAGTTTGGGAAGCTATAAACAAGGATGAGAATTGCCAGAAGATCTACTTGTTTTAGAGACTGCCTATAGACACATGTGGTGCTTTTAAAGTCAGGCTGTTTTCGCTGAATGTTCGCAATTAAAAGATCTTTTTACGCATTTTTCTTGTTACATGTTTCGGTACTTATTGTACTTTTACTTGGCCATGAATACTGTCTAACTCTATCAACTTTGACAATCCGCGTCCTTGATCTGGGATTCATTTCTTTATCCAGGGGTTAGCTCGACAAGAACATAGGTTACACGAGGATAGTTGCGTGCGCGCGCCTAACTTCCCGCCCGTGTGCGTCGTTTTAAATCACTCAGTCCAGGTTATATTTCTAGAGTTCACGTTCAATTTAGCTCATCACATGCATTTTTGTTTAATTTCCTCAGATTCCTTGCGTGTAAGATTTGCCTTACCTTTAACGTTCCCTCAATGCCTTCTGCATTTACTTACGAGTTCCTGTTTGCGCGTTATTACGCTTTTCCTCTTCCGTTCATCAGTTACTTCCTTTTACATTACCCTTCTCCCTTTTCTCTTGTACGCCACCCCGGGAAACGTTGTATTTTCTATTTCCTCATAGAATGGAAGCCCTCGCGTGCAGACGCCCTGGGGGCGCAAAATGTATGTTCCCTTTTCTTTACGTTATTTTGTACCTTGAATTGCCTCTTGCGTGACCTTTTCCTTATGTCAACGTCCTATGCCCCTTTATAAACTCTCTTCAAAGGGTTTCAAAGGGCTACTACCTGTGCACTTTCTCACGTGAAAAATTTCGAATTTTCTACACAATTTCCATGTAGATATGCCAATTTGTGGCGACGGAAATGATTTTTTTACTTCTACTCTCACCAAATTCGATGTGTCAACCTGAACATAGTTGTATAATAAGTTTTGATCACTTAAGTAATCACCGAAAAGTACGTCAATCCACGAACTCGATGACTCTTTGTATAATCGTGCCCTCTGCGTCGTTAACTAAACGACGTTTTTGTTCAAGTTACACGTTGATTGACATTTAATTAATAATTGATTTGTGATTAACAATATAAAGTCAGAAAACTGACCTTTTATCCACAGCTGAAACTCAAATCTCCGTACATGGGAGATTATTTGTTTTTTTTTTAGCAAAAAAGCTTGTACATACATAATTTGCTCCTAGTTTAGAGCTAAATACTTACTTTGTGTGACGTCCTTAATGTCTATATTAAGCTAAAGTACACTGTGCAGGTCTGTACATAGTTACCGCACTGGAACCTAAACAGTTCAACAAAATTTTAACAATTTGCAACTGGCTTGCCAAATGTTATAATGAAAAGGTTAATGCGCAACCGAACGGAAACTTTAAACAAAAGAAAACCATTCTATTTTACCACTAAAATTGCTACTCATCAAGACGCCTAATTATAAATTCCCCTGATGAAAATTGCGCCATTTGTTTTCCATTCTTTACTTTAGCAAAATTGTTAATCAACACGGTTAATCAAAAAAATTATCTGATTGCCCATATTTTGTCTTTTGTTTAAAACGTGCCTTTCATTCAAGAGAAAGAGCGCGGAAATTCCCTTTCTTTTCTGCCTGACTTGTCAAATGTCATAATGAAGGTGAACAATGTGTACAGTACTAAACATTAGAACAGTACTGTATAGTACTGCACTGTTGTCTGTTTCGCATTTGTCTTTGGTTGACATTTTTTCATTATATCGAGGTACCTGTATAAGTTTGGGCTTCTGGATTGTGTTCGTTATACCGACGATTTCGTTCTATCGAGGTTCGTTATATCGAGGTTCCGTGGCGTACATTTTACTGTAACTTTAGCCGGGCTGAAAAGAATCGTTGGTTATACCGAGGACTTCGTTATATAGAGGTTCGTTTAATCGAGGTTCCACTGTAGATAAATTTTTCGATACCGCTGACATGTCCGCCACGTGACCTATGGCGCAGTTATCCGAACTGGATGGGAATCATGACAGACTTCTCGTGGTGAGCGGATGCAAACTTTGGTAGGTTTTCAATCTCGAAATGATACATTTTAGGCTTAGGTTACAAGCAGTAGCTAACCTAGATCAAGTGTGTGCTTCAACTACCCACAGGTCTTCAATTCAAGATGCAACCATTGTCGACGTTGTAACTGTAATCAGTTGGACAGTTTCTTCTTGCACTTAACACTGATTGTAGAATACTATTAAAAAATAACAGTATTTGATTGCATAAATGGTAAAGTCCTCTAATATCCTGCTCTTTCACTTGCCATTCTATTGCTGTGCTCGTATGTGTGTTTAGATATAAAACTGCCGCAGGGATCTCGTCGAAGAGGGTTCTAATCTCCTGATTTTTCTCATGGTTATCTTTCCCTCTACTTGTCTGTGTATTTAAATATAAAAGCGCCATATGGATCTCGGCGAAGAGGCGTACCGCACGTCTGGTTTTCAATGTAACATGACTCATCATGGGGGTCTATCAGAATTTTAAACTAAGAAATTTTTTCGTCAAGACTTGTCATAAACCGTAGAAGTTGGTTGTTTTAATTACATCCACATTCGTTACAATAAAGGTAATCTTGCACACTTTTGTTTTTAAATCGATTAAACACGATGTAACAATTTTTTGTAGAGGCCTTTTCTCAATTGTTCCTGAAATTTATTGGCAGCCTGAATATGAACAATACTGAAATATCAGATCAAGATCAAAAAAGATTTTCATGTAAATTTGTTTGCAAATGACCCGAGTAATCCCCTTTTCAACCAAAGAAAAGGACCAGTGTTAAAAAATTCGTAGACAAGTTTGAATGTGTTCGACATTGCACTCCACAATAAATATGGTAAATTCTGATGCATTACAAATTTATGGAGAGTGACATTCACATACAGCAGCTCCTGGATACTTGTACTCTTTTTGCAGCTCTGTTGAGGTTTCTATTCCTCCCCAAGGCAGGTTATCATCGTTGCTGGCCACTTTAGTCATAAGTGTTTGAAGATCTTTGTCATCAGAAAAGTTTTGCTCACACAAATTTCAAAACTGACTAGTTAGGATACCGCATGGTTGCTATCACACGTGACATTCCATTTTATTCAAATGTGAGGTAGAATACTCTGTTTAAAGTTACATATTTTCAGGGGACAAAATTTTTATGATTGCAAAGCTTGTCTGTTCAAAGCCAAGTAGGAAAGCATTACTATAAAAGGGTCAGTCACAGAATGGAGAACGCCTGATCGGATGGTCCACTGGAGACACATCGGGGTTAATACGTAACTTGACTTTATAGTATATCAACTTGCCTACGTTATCAGATACTTCTTTGAAATTTGACTAATTACTTTCATCGTGACTGCCACCATCACCAAAACATCCCTCATCAAAATCATATTGAATCAAACAAAAAGTGCGTAGTACACATGCTGTAATTATAAACAAAACCATAAGGTTAGAGATGGCCATGTTTAAAAAAAAAATGGAACTAAATGTTCTAAGTAAATGATAGCCAGTAAATGCTGGTAACTGCACCTTACATGAACATATCCTTCAACTTTTGATAAGTGATTGTCATTAGGGAACCAGTTTTTGGCCTGAAGAAAAACAGGGGTGTTACCTAGTACCCTTGAGTTGATAAATAATCTACCCTTTGGGCAGGTTTTTTAAAAAATAACGATAGCAATAATAATAATTCCTTTATTTAAATGGCAATAGTAAATTACCAGTAAAAACTACATAATGGGAACTGATTATAAATTTAATTAAAAGGTAATTAGTTAAAATTGATAATGAAATAGAATTGGTTAAAATTCATGAAAATGTTAACAATGTTAAGATAAATACTTGATACTCAAACAAGACGATGTATGTGAAAGGTGAGAAATTACATGACGAACCATATATTTACAACAGCAATTATCAGTCCCTGCAAATTTTGAAGTAGTATATCACTGTCTTCACACTTGTTGGACATCGTCATATTCTATCCTTGTTTAAAGATTCAAGATTCAGAACGGATAGATGAAGGCTATGAAGGAGCAGGGAAAAGTTACGTCATGATGAAGATGGCATTTAGTGCTGGGAAGGATTAAAAGTGTGGACATGTGAGCAGAAATTTTGGAAAGTTTCTACTTTCATTAAGCTCAAGGTTTCACAGCATAGCTACTGTCGCAGCTACTACGTAAAAGCAACTCGGAAGCATGGGCATTTTCTCAAATGTATATGCCTTGGAAAGAAACGACCTCGTAATAATGAAAGCCCTTCCGTTCTCGGATACTGGCTATCTCACTTTTGGAGCCGCTCACTTCACATTCCTTTAGCTGGCTGCTAAAATTAATCGACTTGCATTGATTGGTTACCAAGCATAACTGGATGCACTGCATGACGTCAGTGACACTCCGTGATGAAATCACATGACCTGGCAGTGCTTTACCCGGGCCGAACCGCGGTTCAAACAACGCTCCCGAGACTAAATGAAGGAGAGCAGAAAAAAGAAATAGTTTTAATTTTAGGCTTACCACTTTCATTGATGTGGAGAGTCCACATTGGATAGGTTGTGTTACTAAGTATGAAATAAAATATGCAACATTACTCTTGGGAGACTAGTTGGCCAGACTAATTTTGATTTAAGGCACTGAGAGGGAATGAGCTGACGGTATCCTAACTTGATCCTATCCTCAGTGGGTACTGCTGGGGGAGACATGCATATGATGGGAGGATGGTCAAACAAAAATGAACCTTATGGAAGATAATAATGAAAACACACACACACACAAACACACACACACACACACACACACACACAAACACACAAACACACACACACACGTGGCATTATGTTGCGTTATTGAAACTGCAAATAGATACCTTCTGGCCAAGGTTCGCCGTAAGCTTCCAGTTTTGTGCATGGCCAGACACTCCATTTCAACGGTATAAGGCGGAAATATCGAGCGTGAATCACCGAAATGATGTTTTTCTTTACTTCATGTGCGTTGCTATTTCCTTCTAATACCTAAAATATTTAATGCAAAAGTAATACCTATTAAAAGTAGTACTGGAAAGGAACGTTCTTAGTCTCACGACTCAATATATTATTGCCTTGCTGACTCAACGAAAAAAAAAATGTTTATAATCAGAACTGTCTGGCAAGAGGCCTGTTTTCGGAACGGCTATTTATCTGTTCCAAATAGTCGCTTTTTTTTGGGGGGGGGGGCACTTGTTTGTATTCAAGAAAGAGACTATATTAGTTTGTAATTCACACCATAGATAATCACGAGACAAAGAAGAGTTAACTGATTTTTGAGAAAGAAACCCCACTACTCTTTCTTAAATAGATATTTAAAAATATCGTTCAGACTCGTTCAGTCTCTGGAACTTACGAGAACCTTGCCCCAGATCAATAAATTCCTGATCTATGTGCACTGTCCAGGTGCAACTAACTTGTCGGATAAGAAAAATGTTTTCCCCTCTAATGTTTGCGTGGGGGTTGGTCCGAAAGAGAGCGCTTGGGTATTATAGTTAACTGTATACCATTATTACAAAGTCTACTGAGTTGGCAGTTTTTTGTCACGGTGATATTTCTTGATTCCATGATAATTTTCTTTTACCTCTGGACTTTCCTCCCAGTTAACACCATCGTGAGACCATCTCAGTATGTATTCTTTCAAATAATCATAGTTCCCACCGTTATTTCCTTGAGTGGCAACTGCACAAATACGGTAAGGACGGCCAAAATCTATCTGCAAATATCCAATTCATGTAGTATCAGAACGATTTTTCATTGCAAGTCAGAGGTAATAGAGGATTGCATTAGGGCCTCTTCATATGAGCCCGGTTGACTGTGCTGGCCTGGTTTCCGAGATCTCGCCTTACCTCTAGATTTAAATCCTTTGTAAAATTTTCGATGTGTTCATATGAGATGGCGGCCTGGCTCGGTTACCGAGACCTCGGTTTTCCAACCGGAATCTCGGTAAGCGGGCTGGAAAATTTTGCCATATGAACACTTCAACCCAGTTACCGGGATGAATTCTTCGCATATTCGTTTCAACCTTCGTAACGAATGATTTCGCTTCCGCAAAAAGGCGGCCCTAATGGCATCGTTTTCCTTTGTCTGATGAATTTTTGACATCAGTAGCAGCCTGTTTAATTGCAGTGATACAGCTGAAAGGGTTGCCAAAGCCATGATAGGCGCAAAAGTAATATCTCAGTTGCGTTGCGCCATCTTATTTTGTTTTTCCAATTTCGCGCCAAAACTCGTCCCCAGGATCTTCGGCTTTTTCTCATCTCCGAAACCGGGCTGAATTTTCTCTTATGAACCCAAGGCGAAATTCGTCCCGGTAAGCGGGCTAGCCCGGTCAACCGGGGTCGTATGAAGAAGCCCTTAGTTCGCTTTGACTCTATCCGTCAGTGTTAAAGACCCTCTCGACTTGAACTCATGGTCTTTGACTGTTTTTCACTTATATAACAGCCTTTTTTGTTAAAATTTTCCTGTGTTTCGATTGGCTGCTACTTTCGTCTCACATTTACCATGTTGAGTACCTAATCAACCCAAGCAAACATAGACAATTAAACTCAAAGTCATAAAAGAGAGACAGCCCCGAAAAAGACTTTTGATTTCAGGAACTCGTTGCTTACAAATAAGAAAAGGTTAATACTTGGTGAAACAGAAAATACCTCTAGAAAAAAGAATATGTTCCGAACAATCGCTCGCAAGCTCATGTGGACATCCACTAGTTCATTTCTTTCTCGGCACCTCATCATTGCCTTGTCAACATCGATCTATAACTTAGCAGACACACGGCATAATCGATTCTGTTTGTTAGTTACCTGGTAGTACACACTCTCATTCGCATTGCCCGGCCAGTGTTTACACCAGGTCGTTACTCCGTTCAAGCGAGCCTTTGAAGGCACTCCCGATGAAGCAGACAGTTGAGAATCAAGAATTTCACCAGTTTCCATACCAACGGCTTGCGCAGTGCATACTAAATGTAAGTAGAAAATTTTTTAGGTCAAAAGAAGAATATAAGGAACAGCTTCAGTAGTGTTTTGTTTTTGACCAATACGTCGGCACATCGTCAGAAATAGAGTAATTTTTTGGCCATGTGGTACTAAAACAATTGTTTATCGTAGCAAGAGTGAAAGTGGTGGAAATTGTCTTATTTTTTTTTTGCTTTCCTTTTTACAGCAATATATTCTATTAATTCAGTCTGCACCACTTTTAACTTCCTACTTTAATTACTAATCGTTGATCTTTTATTGTATACGAAAGTCCTGCGCGAGGTTTACCACCAGTAAAATAGATCACGCAATACAAATCCTACCGGCATTGCACTAAACTGGTTTAGAGCTTCATTTCATGTTAATCAATCCAGGCAGTACCTTGCAGACAGGTGTAAAGTTCCACCCTCATCGACACAAGGCCTTGCCAGGTTAGAGGTCGGAAACGGATATACCGCGCTGTGATTGGTGGGTTAAGTTCATGATATACAACTGTATCACGGTCCTGATTTCCGGAAAACTCCTAAAGCATGAAATGGGGGTTGGATGTTAGGAATTGAGATGAGCTGATAACAAGTTTTGACGAAAGAGGCTTTATTTTTCTTCGTTATGTTGACGTCAAAATTCTTTAAATCAAAATCTCAGAAATCAGAACTAAAACGGAAACTGCACTGATCCTGTTGATCGCATAAGGAGTACGCAAAAGACGAAAACAACACAACGTGTTCTTTGTGACCAACTTAAAAGTCTGTCGCCCTTATTAAATTCATTTATTGAAAAGTGAAACCTAAAAGAGGAAACGGAGTAAAAAAAAACATCAAAGTTTGTATCGTTCAGCGCGGCCATTTTGTTGTTCTGTATTTTTACCCTGTTCTACAGTGTAATGCCGACAGGAGGATTATAAATCAAGAAGAAAAAGAAGTTCAGCGATCAAAAATGTTTCAGAAATTGTGACAGATCACAAGTACATTTGAACATGGCTGAATTTATGTTTGTTGATTGTGACAGAATCAGAGGAATCATGAAAAAACGAGTGATAAAACTCAGAAACTTGGGGCGGCGAGATTGCTGGAAACCTCATTTAGGCGCGCATGGATCAGTCATTTCTGAGAGCCGCACCGATGATGATTCCGTTAAGCAACCTTTTACTTTCCGTTACCTTGCGTAGTGACTGACCACTTTCCTTGTAATACTCAAACTCAACTCCATCAATACTGTACTGTACGTTGTATTTAGTCACCCATTGACCGTGATCATTCCTTCCTTGTGTAGCTAGGCCTGTTACACTTGTATAGCGACTGCGCAGGTCCACCTGGAGCCACTCATGAATTGTGTGTTGTAAAGCCACCCATCCTCCCGCTCCTGAACTTGGCAGAAGATTCAATCTAGCCCGGGTGACGCCGTGAGTGACTGAGTTCCATTGCGAGGACGCAGTTATTTGATCGTCCTGGATGTTGCCGTTTTCCATGCCAAGCGGAACTTTGCATTCTGAGTTTTTTTCGGAATATGCATGTTAGTTCTTATAGACACCATCCTCATAAATCCAAACGAAATGCATAAAAAAATCTAAGCTTAACGATTGGTCAGCTTGCATTTTAAAGCACTTTAGGCAGTCTGCTTTAAAAGTTGTAATTTGCTCCTAGTGATACTGTCCTGTTTTTTGATTGGTCGTACGCTTTGTGATTACTATGAATCTGATTTAATGACACTAAACCGAAGGGTGTCTCATTGTTTTGCATAAGGCGCTTTCATTTGCTTATTAAACAATGAAAATCAGTGAATCTAAGAAGGAAAGCAAAATCGTGACATTTTAACCTAAAAAGAGAGAGACTGGCCAAGAAATTAAATCTCACACATTTATTTGGGCCAAACTGTATTACTGATTTCATCCAGTTCATTTTTTATAACAAAGGTTTCTTCAATGTCAGGATTGGTGAGGTTCCATCTCCATAGCCTCTTTGTTTCGTTCAGGATTAGCTGACTTTCCATGGATTATCCACGCAAGCAAAATCAAGGTGAAAGTTAAGACATTTCAACTCCTGCTGAGATTTTCATCATCAAAGGGGACCTTTCACTAACTTTAGAGCGATTGCCTTTGGAAAGTGCTTATAATGGTTTTTGTTATCTTAGCTCGATCTTTTTTAGCTGTAAGTGTGTGATAATTCGGAGAGATCCCTTTGAGCAAAGCCCCGGGATGTATTCATGATTGATTTGTCGTTGAAACAATGCAAATGACCATAGGAGCGTGGGAAGTGTTCTATTTTGAACCTAGAATACAATACTTAATGTGACAGATACAGCTGTGTTACCTCTGTTCAATTTTTAATCACAGCTTGAAGATAAAAGAGATTCAGTCTGGAAATGATGGTTACTGCTGCTGGGGACATATCTCTCTCCATATCAGACTTACCTTGTTCTCCATTTGATCTCACAACCTGAAAAACAATTGAAGTATATCTCTTGTGACGATGCTTTACCTCTGGAATGTTTCTTTTGCATGTTTCTTTCTTTGTGAATAATGTACTTTGAACAAAGAAAGTGATCAGAGACGAAAACCTCCAATCTGTGTTGCCTTATGTCTGAAACTATTTGTATCCCTGAAAGGATCGCATATGTTTTTTTTTTTTTCTCGGATCTTGACAATACTTCTTATTTGTAAGAGTATAAATGATGCTTTTGTAGATAAAGTACACGCTTAGATTGTATGCATATTTCGATATAATTCACAAAACGATCCACAGTCTTAAGGAAATTACTTGCCTAGATTGGGTTTATGTAATTCTGAGGCCTGGCGAATTACATCCCGATCTTTTTTTAAACTTCTGTGATAGGACCTCACTTCAAAATAGTCTTTTAGTGTAATGATAGAATTTGGTCGGGCAAAATAAGCCGAGTAGCCCGGGCGCCCGATCGACGGAGAGAAACAGTGTATTATGAAATTAACTTGCCGATAGACCTCTCCTGATTTAGATAAACCAGTTCCTTTTGGAGCACAAAGATATATAGAGAGGTGATTATAAGTTTCTCGAGGATTATCATGTTTGATGATGGCCAATTTTTAGCGGAATCGTTCTGGCGGTTAATTTTTTACCACACTAATCATAAGTAAGGAAATATATAACATATCTTTCTGTTAAATAATAAAAATAATCCTACCAGAAATAGGAGAAAGAGACACGAACAAGGCCCTTTCATCTTCCGAAACCACTACTGTACGTTACGAGGCATTCCAGAGAATTAAAAATTGCAAGAAATAAATACCACCGCTCGAAAATGGCGAAAAAAGACTTCAACGCTGAATTAGAGCGAAATTTCTTAAAACAGAAGAGCCACAATCATTTTTCGCCAGATTAAACGAGTGTGCAGAAAAAACCAATAAAATTCGTCATACAGACAGACTCCCTGAGGTTGTTATCATTTCACCGGGTGTGTAAGTTATCAAGGTGACAACGTTAATGATTGTGATTGGGGCAATAGCCGATAAAAAATTCACCGTTTACCTTGCAATCACCTGTTTATAGTCTGGGCAGGTGATACCCAGACTGAATGGCGCTAATAAACCTGTTGATAACAAACTGTGAAAAAAAAGATGTGAGATCCTACAAATTTAAGTTATCACAGATTCTGACTAAAAGCCTTCAAAAAAAGTTGAAAGCTTTCGGACAGAGAGAATTTCAGTTGAAGACGACAAAATGTTAAATTTGCATAACATGTTGACGGGAAAACAAAGCCCAATAGTTGCATTTGCCCGTCTAAGCTAAATGAATGAGTGCACACCGTAATAATGGTCGGGATAACGCTATCATTTAGATGGCGCTGGCAGAACGTATTGTTAATAATTATCCGCTGGATAGAGATATATCCGTAAGATAGCTCTATCCGCCCTTAAAAAAACTGGTGTGCCTAGGTCCTGAGAAGACTTAAAGAGTCCATGGCAACAAAAGCAATCTCTTTGTTTCACTTGTACTATGATAATTTTCACGACTTGATTTTGAGCAGAAGAGTTTTCTGACAATTTGGAACTTGTACAGCTGATAGTATCAGTGAGGACAAAAACCAAATTATTTCTCAAGGCTTGCATCCCCTGGGAACAAGACTGAATGAAGACAAATTAAAATAATGAGGAGAGTTTTGTTGACCTCTCTATGAAAATTGATGATCTACACCTATAATTAGATTTTAGAGGAATAACACTAAAGTCAAAAGAGACTTTGATACTGCATATTAGGTAGTAATGGGCACCAACCTGGCTGCTATTTAAAGAAATTTATAGACGTTGTAAGAAATATACAACGTTTTTGAAAGACATGTTTCGGCATGCATATGCCATCTTCAGTCGATGAGTAGTTGGGTGTGAACAATTGAATAGTATACAAGTAGATGAATAAATTATTTACAATATGATGTGATACAAAAGCGGGTACTATTTACAACGTGACACCAAAACATCAAGGTGCGAACTAGAACGCTAGAAAAATGTTATAATGCTGTAATTTTTTGTTAAGTACAGGTTTGATCTTATTTATATAAAAAACTTCTTTGAGTTTTAAATCAATTGAGTCGTTAGCAGAATCCAGAATACTAAAACAAGAAGGCTTTTGTCGGCTATTATTCTAAAATAGCGAACCTTTAACTCCGACAACTCACTAAGCGCTTTTGCAAATCGGACCTAAATATCAAACTAGTTTTCACTTCTTTTAAAATTAAAAGCATGTTTAGTGTTAAAGATCGTACTCCTGATGCTCTAAAATCCATAGTAGTTTACCAATTTTCTTGTGCGGGATGTAATTCCTGTTATATTGGCGAAACTACTCGCCACTTTTCTACTAGGGTAAAGGAGCACACGGAAAGCGATAAAAACTTGCATATTTTTAAGCATTTCAACACATCTCCTTCTTGTAAGAACAAATGCTCCCCTTCTTGTTTAGTATTCTGGATTCTACCCCCAACCCTGCAGGAGACGGGATCTCCATTTGTTCGTCTCTATCCGAGGAAACTAGAATATCTAACCATTTCTTGATGTTATATAAAGGTAGCAAATTCTTTTAAAATATTTTAAGACCTTTATTGTTGGTCCGGCCGGGACTCGAACCCTCGACCTCCCGCACAACAGTCCAGCGCACTATCCATTGGGCTAACTGGGCGGCGGTCTCCATTTTACAGGAGACAAATCGTGTATGAATCACTCAAGAAATTTATAAGCTCTAATCCTGGAAGCTTAAACTCTCTTAAGGAATACGACTGATCACTCCTTGTGTTACGCGCTCAAATCAACCCAGATTAAACACAAGGTTGTATTTATTCTAAAACTCCGAGCACATGGTTTTTCCTTCTTTTTTTCCCGACACTCATTGCGGTTCATGAACTCAACAAAACATGTCACGCACCCTACATACTTCCCCACCAAAAATGAAAGTGTTCTTCTAAATATTACAAAACTATTTATCAGAGTTCTCTGCAGCTATACTGTAAATGTTGCTTGACATGCGCCTTGCGTGCTTTTGGTCTTTTTTTTTTAATTTTATTTTAATGTTTGGGTTTTATACGAGGTTGTATTGTTGCATGTATTGTTGCACAGATTGTGTCCTTTTCCATTTCTGCAGTACAGGTTTCCATGTATGCACTGAAATCTAGTGGTAGGCGGGGTAGTACATCCGCTTCAATGTTAGATTTGCCAGGCCGATACTTGACGTTAAAATTAAAATCTGTCAATTCTGCCACCCACCGGTGCCCTACTGCGGACAACTTAGCTGACGACAGAATGTGAGTTAGTGGATTGTTATCGGTGTAAACAGTGAAGAAGGTGGAGTAGTACAAGTAATCACGGAACTTCTCAGTTACTGCCCATTTGAGGGCAAGGAACTCAGATTTTCCCGCGTGCATGTGATAATTTTTTCTCTGATGGAGTTAGTGTCCTGGAGGCATAACCTAGAACTCTCAGCTTCCCATCCTGTTCTTGATACAATACAGCTCTAAGTCCCTCTTGCGAGGCGTCTGTGTGAAGCACAAATGTTTTCGTAAAGTCGGGAAATGCCATCACTGGGGAAGAAGTCAGTATGTCGACCAGCATGTGAAGCCGCTTCTGATGTTCCTCTCTCCATGTTACCTTATGATTACTGGACAATAGATCAGGGCCAGCCATTACGTCGTACAGGGGCTTAGCTATGCGTGAGAAATCGTGGATGTATTGCTTGTAATAACTCAGGAACCCCAGCAGTTTACCCACCTGACTCACTGTTGCTGGTTTCTGTTTCGCAAAGTTGTGTACAGTGGCCGTGTCATCTGGGTCTAGAGAGTAGCCATCGCCGGAAACAACCCGCCCCAAATATCTAACTTGTCGTTGGAAGACCTTGCACTTTGATGGCTTTAACTTTATCTCATGTTCCTGTAGTCGACGTAGGACTTGTCGGACATCCTGAATGTGTTACTCAAAGGTCTTACTTTTCACCAAGACATCATCCAGGTAGGGAATACAAATGTTGTCACGTAAGCCGTCTAGACATTCATTCATGCACCTTTGGAATGCCGCCGGTGCATTCATTAGCCCGAACGGTATTCTATTCCATTGATACAATCCCCAGGGGGTCACGAATGCAGTCAGGGGGCGGCTTTCCTCTGTCATGAAGCCTTGATGGTAGGCCTTCCCTTGGTCCAGAACTGTAAACCATTTGTTGCCGCCTAGGCCATTAAAGATATCCTGCATACGGGGAATCGGCTGCCGTTCTGGATATCTTTCCTTGTTCAATTTCCGACAATCAGTACAAAGTCGCAGACTTCCATCCTTTTTGCGAACACAGACCATGGGTGAGGAGTAAGCCGAACGGGACTTGCAGATCCAATTTCGATTAACCAAGTCTTCTAAGCACTCTTTCACTGACTTCCCCATAGAGTGGCTTGGGGATGGAGATATAGTTCTTCTGTACTCGCTAATTGTCCTTTAACTGGATATCCAGCACCGAGTTCTCCACACAGCCAACATCATCGTCGTTTCTTGCAAAGGCTCCAGCTTCT